GGTGGGGTCACAGAATCAGAGAGGCAGAGCTGGAAGGAACCTTAAAGGCCATCGAGTCTATGAGGAACAGAGACCCAGGGAAGCTGCAGGACTGTCTCAGGAACACACGGAGAGCAAGAATCTCAAACCCAGGTCTTCCTGACTCCAAGTCCAGGGCTCTCCACTACACTCCTGAAGCCATCATCAGGGGAAAATACCAAAGACTTTGGAAAAAAAATCATCAAGCTGAGCCCCATGTCCCAGTAAGCACCATTTCTGGCAGCTGGGCAAAGGTGCCTCTATACTCTATCATAGGAAGTCTCAGAAAAAAAAGAGTTCCGTGCTTCAAGTTCCAGAGTCAGAAAGGAAAAAAGAGTGCCAAAGGCGGAGTTACTCCTTCTAAAGTTTACTGAATGGGCAGTGCTTCCTGACTCAGTGGCCAGTCTTTTCTTAATCAACCCCTTCCCCTGCTGCCAACATGGAGGCCTAGGGATTGTTACAACATCCCAGTGGGCCAAGTCTTTCAGCATAGCACTGAGCCCCAAGTGTTCCCAGCAGTTTACAGAAGACTTCAGTGTGGGCTCCTATGGAGTATATTCTAGCCACAATCAATAAGAGGGTCTCTGGGAAAAGGGATGGAGAGAGAAAGAAGTGTCCATTGATTATATCCATTACATATAGTGCCAGACATAAATATATACTTATATATATATATATTTATTAAATAGCATGTTAAAATGACATTATGTACATAAAAATAGATTTAATATAACATGTAAAATAACAGGTTCAATGCATATTTAACATAAAGTGTTAAAATGACACCCCTTACTTTGCAATATCCTATGACTCCTGAATGTAGACAAGCAGACATTTATTGAATGTTAATCTTGAGATGGACTTTCCAGCCTTGGAGACAACCTTGTTAGTTTAGGACATGGAGCACTTCTGGGTCCCAAAGTTAGTACCAACTCCAGGATAGTAGGGCAGTATTCATGCAGCTGTTTTAGCCCTTCTTGGAGAAGCTGGCCACTGGTAAAGGGAAGAGCTGACTGTCTGGCCAGGCTTACCAGAAGACCTTGAAGGAGACAGTGTGGAGTCTATGAAGGCGAAATACATCTTCAGTATCCCTGCAAAATGCTTCATGTTTTGATGTTTCACATATCAAGCTTCCGGGAGACTGTTGTGTTTTAAGTTATGACTTCGTATTTCAGTCTTCGTCTGTACTCTTTAGTCTTTGGTGGTTTAAGCATTTCTTTTGTGTGGAAGAAATAAATTACTGTCCTATGCCTGGTATATATTGTTCATTAAGTCCCTTTCTACTACTTTTTGGCAGGATATCTTAGTCATGAATCAGATCCAAGCTTTAAGTGATCTTCTCCTGGGGCAGGGCTGTAAACAGCCAGAGAGTTCAGGAAAAAAAATAACCTGAATAACCTAATAGCTCTGTGGTAGGTTGCACATTAGCTAGGTTTGAGTAGGCACAAAGAAAATTTCAACAGGGAAATCTCTAGGCTGTGTAAGATAAGGATTATAGGCCACAGAGAAATCAGGGGGTGCTGCTGACCAACAGTCCCTGTCATTTAGGTAGCTGAAACAGAAAGGATTCTTTGTTTCATGAGTAACAGAGAACACTGTGATGGTGACATGTATTTTCCTGATTGTATAAAAAGCATCTAGTGAGGCAACTTTTCACTTGCTAAGACCTAGTGGATTCTCCATTCTGAGTGGGCTGAATTTGTCTCCTATTGAATATCATCTCAATGAAGAAAAAAGGAGGCAAAATAAGGTCATGGTGCTCAATTGAATTAGAATCAGAACTGCTGGCATGCATCCTTGACAATAGTATTGCTTGACAATAGTATTCTTAGAAACTAAGTAAATTCATTCATCTATCTAGTCATCTAGTCATTCATTTGCTTATGAAATATTTTTGTGTCTTTTGTTTTACATCACCATAATTTTCATCAGTATCCCTCTTCCCTGTCTCGGAGAGCATCCCATCTAACAAAGAATATTTTTAAAGACAAAAGAAGGAAAAGATGAAAAAATCAGCATATCTTATCAGTATAAAAAAATTGTCTAAAATAGGCATCATGCTTGTGGACTTTTCACCTCTGCAAAGAAGTGGGGTCAGAATGTCTTCTCATATTTTTTTCCCTTTGGTCCATTTACATTGTTGTAGACCTTGTATAAATTGTCCTCTTGGTTCAGCTTATTTCACTCTGCATCAGTTCATATATATTTTTTCTTTCTTCTCTATGTTAATCACTTTTGGGTTGTCTTACAACTCAATAAAGTTCCATCACATTCCCGTACCACAATTTGTTTAGCAATTCACCCATTGATGGGCATTTATTTTGTTTCTGGTTCTTTTCTATCACAAGAATGTTACTATAAACATTTCGGTGTATATAGAGCTTTCTTCTTAGCAGTGGCCTCCATTGGATATGACTAGTAGTGGAATGCTTGGGTCAAAGGGTATGGATAGTTTAGTCACTTTGTATAATTTTAAATTGCTTTCCAAAATGGTTGTACTGGTTCACCAACAATGTACTAGAGTCCCTGTCTTCCTATCATCCCACCAGTTATTGACTATTCCTATCTTTTGTCATCTTTGCCGACTTGTAGGATGTGAGATGCAACATTAGGGTTGTTTTGTTTTGCATTTCTGTTGTTATTAATAATTTGGAACTTTTTTTTTCCTTTGGTAATTAATAGTGTGCAATTCTTCTTTGGAGAATTGTTTGTTCATATTCTTTGACAGTGGGTTTCAGCAGTAGTGAATCGTTCTAATGACCATGAAAGTGACTGAAGCAGGTGCTGTGGAGTGCCTAGAGCTTGGTCAACATCAAAGATGCCAAGGCCATTCTCTGCATGTCAGGCCATCTCCAGTTGTCTTGGCTTTTGTTTTGCCTCTGGACTTTGATGGCTCTGGAAGAGAGAGTGAGGCTGATGACTTTGTGTCATTCTTCCTCACTTAAATCCAATCCATTCACAAGTCAAGATATTACCCCAGGATGTCATTGGTTCTCTTAGGAAATAAAGGGCAACAACACTGGGGAGTAGCTTTTGGTCTTATGTCTATCTGTTGATTATATATCTTAGATATCAAACCCTTGTCAGAAAAATTTAACACAGAGATTTTTTTTTCTTCATTTGGCCACTTCCCTTCTGATCCTACATGCATTAATTTTGTTTGTACAAAATCTTTTCAATTTCATGTAACCAAGATATCTCTTTTTATCTTTTATAATTTCCTCTATCTCTTGTTTGGTTAAGAATATGTTTCCTACCTATAGGTAGGAAAAGTATATTATCTGCTTCTCTCCTAATATTTTTATAGTATGATCTTTAATATTAAGGTGATTTATCCAATGTATTGTGGAATATGATATAAGGTGTTGATCGAAGCCCAGTTTCTGCCTGATTTCTTTCCAGTTACCCAACCAGTTTTTTTTTAAATCAAATATCATTGTACTCCTAAGTAATTTATGTTTTCTGGTTTATTGAATAATGGGTTGTTGAGTTCTATATTTTTCTGATTCTTGTTTGTCCAGTCTGTTTTATTGAGATACCTCTATTTTAAAATCAATATCAGATCGTTTAATGACTCTTACTTTATAATATAGTTCAAGATCTGGAAGTACTATTTCTCATTCATAGCAACCTCTTTTTAAAAAATATATTTTTATTTATTTCATTAAATATTTCCCAATTAATTCTAAAAGTTTTTAATATTCATTTTTTAAAATTTTGAGTTTCAAATTTTCTCCTTCCCCATCCATTGTGAAGGTAAGCAATATGATATCAGTTATATACATACACACATATATGAAGTCATGCAAAGCATATTTCTCTACATTATATATGATATAGTTCTATATTCTATAGTTATATTGCAAAAGAAAACACTGAAACAAGAAAAATAAAGTTTAGAAAGTGCGCTTTAATCTGCATCCAGAGTTTATCAGTTTTCTCTTTGGAGGTGGATAGCATGTTTCATCTTCCCCCATAATTATTTTTCCCACATTTGCCATGAAATCTCTCCAGGTCCATCCCTTTTCACTCTTCTTGGTGTCAGTTGCCACCAAAGGCATCCTTCTCTGATGTCTTCCTTGCTACTCTCCTGACTCATTTCAGAACCTCTTGAGGTGCTCAGTGACTCATTTTTCCCTTATGAGATAAAAACTCATGAAATCTAATTTTCTGTCAGTTATGAAATAATAGTCCTTATCTGATTCCCCCACAGTCCTCAAACAGTTATTTGCTTGACCACTTTGTGTTTTAACCTCTCCCACTCTAAAAACAGTCACCTGCAAATGAACTGAGGGACCACACTATTCTGCAATGTCAGTTATTTCTCAAACAGCTCCTCTCAGTCTGTTATCTGAGGTGTGGTTCTTTTTTCTGTCCTCCAAACTGTCTGTGTTTCTTCTCACATGTGAAAAGGAAAACCATATCTCTACATATGAATTTTTATGTTTTTTTTAATGCACAAAAGTCCTTTTTTTGCTCCTTTCAGCAATCAGACTGTTAACATATGAAAGGGAAAAGATTTTGCATACTTGATAAACTTGATAAGATTTGATTCTTTTTCTTTACACAAAAGTTCATTTTCTGCTCCTTTCAAGGGGCAATACCTGACAAATGCACTCCGATGCACACAGGCCTATCTTATTTTTGAATTGCTCTCTGTGTTAATCTTAAATATTAAGACTCCAACATTATTGAAGAAGAAAACTAAAATTTATCAACATAAATATGTGAGGATTAAACATACAAGTTCAAACATGTTCCACATCCCTAACCTGAAAAGAATTCATGAATCTGTAGGGAAAATCAGTAGGCTTTTGAATATGAGAATGGTTTCCATTTGGTATGCAAAGAACAAACTAAATATTTGGAAGGAAACAAGCATTTGTTAAGTACCTACTATGTGCCAGGAACCATGCTGATCACTTTATTACTATCTCATTTGATCTTCATAACAACTCTGGAAGGTAGATACTATTATCCTGATTTTACACTAGAGGAAAGTGAAGCAGACAAGTTAAGTGACTCACCCAGGACTGCATAGCTAGTAAGTGTTTAAGGTAGGATTGGAATTCAGACCATTCTAACTCCAGGCTCAGTGTTCTATCCGCAGAGTAATTAGACTGTTTTATTGCCATTACTACTTGTGCCTCATATTTGTAAACTGCAAAGTGTTATCCGAATGTCCAGTATTATTATTAGCTTAGAAACTTTAGTCAAGTGCCAAATATCCTCAGTTCTAAAGCTTCTCCTTCAAGTTTTGCTGTAGATCAGGGTGGGCAAGAGGGTAAGCCCCAGTCTTAGTCATGTGACATAGCTTCTTTTCCTATAGGGTGTTCCATTTTGCCATGGAGAGATTGGACCAGATGCTGAAACTGGAGCAGTTTTTGGCATTGAATCCTTCTTGTAGTCAATTTTCCTGTTCCTGATGAGAAACAAGTGGAGTTTGAGAGCAAGTCATAGAAAGGGTCTGCAGTCTGGGACTGCAAGACAGTCAATATTAGCTAGTGAACCAGCTTTCTGAACCTCTCAACAAATTGCAGGAGTGCTCTTCTGGGTCCTAGACTGGGGTGAAAAGGGAGAGAGAAGGGGCTGAAACCTCAGCTTCTACCATAAGCTGACCCAAGGTCAGGGGGAGAAGAGGAGAGGCAGGATAGGGTGTAGAAGGCAGCTGGAGGGAGTTCACAGAGAACCCACATCAGAATTCTTAGAGAGTTGTCTCAAGCACTGAGTGACTTGCAAAGGGTCACTTAGTTAGGATGTATTATAGTTGGTCATTCATTAAACATTTATTAAGTACCCACTATGTGCCAGGCACTGTGCTAAGTGCTGGTTAGTGACAGGGCTTGAACCCAAGTCCTCCTGGCTCTGAGGTCAGATTTCTATCCATTATGGAACAGTGCCTCTCCTATTCAATATCTCTCTTCTTTAATAGAGATCAATGGATCAATGCAAGATTTTATACTTGGATTTAAGAAACTGACAAGACAGGAAAGGCATGGTTAGAAGCTTGAAAAAGATGTTGGGGTCTTAGTGGACTATCATCTCACTAAGTCTAGTGTGATATGTCATAGCCAAAAAAACTTAATGTAATGGATTGTCTTAAGAGAGACACAGTTTCTGGGAACAAAACCCCTGCAGATAGTTCCTCGGTACTCTACCTTGGTCAGGGCACACCTGGAATATTGTGTTTGGTTCTGGGTACCACAATACCCAGCATACAGATTGACAGCATACAGAAGACAACCAGGATGGTGAAGGACCTAAAATCTATTCCTTCCTTTGAAGAACTGGGGATTCCTAGCCAGAAGACCTGCCTAAGTGGGGGGTATAGGGAAGGTGGGGGATATGATAGCAATCTTTAAGTATTTGAAAGGCAATGGGAAGAGAGATTAGACTTACTGCTTTTCACCCCAGAGGGCAGAATTTGTAGCAAGAAGTGAAAGTCACAAAGAGATCAATTTAGGATACATACATATATAATACATGATACTTAAAACATCACAGAAAGCAACAGATAGCAGCATAAATGTAGTTGAACACAATTGAAAGAATAGTAAGAAGAACACTCCTATTTGCAGAACTAAAAAAAAAAAGAATTCAGGATAAAGAAATAGACTTGGAAAATAGATTTAAAAAATAAGACATTAGATGAATTGGGATCCTGGAAGGTATAGGGAAAACAAAACCCTCACTATTCTCTATTTTGAAAGAAATAAGTAAAAATTTCATAGAATTTGTGTGACCTCAGATCAGAGAAATCTAAAGTTCAAGTCTTGGAGGTATATAATTACACATTTCCATTGTACCTAGAGTCAGGAAGACCTGAGTTCAAATCCTACCTTAGACACTTAGTAGCAAATCACTTACCTGCTTCAGGCTCAGGTTACTCATCTGTAAAATGAGAATAATAATAGTACCTGCTTCCCAGGGCTGCTGTGAGGATCAAATGATATAAAATTTATAAAGTGCTTTGTGAACCTTAAAATGCTCTGTAAATGCTATCATTGTTATTTCAAAATGATGACAAAAAGAAAGTTTCAGGACTGGAAAATAAATTATTTCTCAAAAGATTTAGTGTGAACTTGGGCAAATCTCTCTCCTTCCATGAGCCATGATTTTCTCATCTGTAAAATCGGGGGCTTAGACTGGATGATCTCTAAGCCCCCTCCCAACGTTAACATCCTGAAAATCTTTAAAAATGCATGGTGTTTAAAAGTTGATGAAGTATGGGTTAAGCCATTGAACATGTACCTGGAATTTCAGAACAGCTTCCTCACATGCTTACACCAGCGATTCACCTCAGCCTCCACCCTTGCAGGTACTTCCTTCACACCACCCAGCTGACTTTTCTTCTTCTGCTCCTGCCTCTCTTGATTCCTCATCTGCAGCTCCTGCAGCTGCTTTGCAGCGGCCTCTGCAGCTTGAGCCTTCTCCTGCTCAGCTGCAGAAGATGAAAAATCAGGGACACTCAAGTCATGGTGAAAGACCACTTGTTCCCCAGCCAACTTTCATCCACGCGTGTTATTGTGTCTATTACACAGATTAGACTTCTGGCAGTCTTCAACTGTCATTCTTCACCAAGGTCACCAGTGTATGTGTACTCAGAGATGGGCAAAGTTTTGGAACCAGGAAAAATCCTTTGCTGGATTCTAAACTTCCCAGAGAAACTGAGTTGTTTGAAATGAAAATTAGGCTTCCCTGACTATCTCATGTCTCATTTCCACCCTGCTTACCAACAATCTCCTTCTCTTTTGCTGTGAGTGCTTGATCTGTCTGCTCAATCGTTTTAGCTACGTCTTCCTTGGACCTCAGGTATTCCTGCAGAGTCGCCTCAGCCTGGCAATGGGAAGACAGTGAATTAGCAAAAGGAAAGAAAGCTGTTGGAGGAAAGTCAAAGGTTGGCTGTTCACAGACACTGGCCTTGACAGTTTTCCATTTGGCATTACTGTCATTGATCTCAGGTCTTGGAAATGGCTCCTAAAGTCCCTCTTTCCCCTCTAATATGAATCAATAGTTCATGGAGAGATTTACCTGTATCCCCTTCCTGGGATGTTGGTTGTACTTCTCTATGAGCTCTTGCTTCTTCTGGAGAAAGAGACCGTAGCCTCCTGGTTTAGAGAAGAACCCTTGCTTCACCCCTTCCTCGAGAGGCCTGAAAATATCCTGGAGCAAAGCTCTGCACCTCTGTGCCGACTCATTCAGGTTCTGGTTACAAAAGGCATCTCGCTTGGCTTCTAGCTGGATCTTCAGAGCAATATAAAGAAAAAGAGGTGTAAAAGGTACAGTCGGGAGAGTATCAGGAACTAATCAGGATTTCTAGAAATACATTCTTTAAAAAAAATCTTGCCCCCTTCCCACCTATGCATGTTCAGAGGCATTCCAAGTAGGATCACACCCTGGTTCTGGACTTGCTTTTATAATATCCTCTGGTATATCTTAAAGATTATGTGAAGAGGGCAGATCAGTCTGGACAATATGTAGTTTCCTAAAGCCCATTTCCCTTATTATCTTTGCCTTAGACCACAATCTTTAATTCTTCAAACTCTTTCACGTGCAACCTTCAATTTCTCAAAATTAATAATAAATGTGTTACAATATCATAGTCAACCAGCATCTTCTAGAAAACAGTTGCCATGTGACTCTTTTACTTAAAGGAGGTTGTAAATGGACTTTCAGGGTGACGTGACTGACTGAGAAGCATGACCTTAGACTCGAGTAAGCTGTTGTTCTCTGGAAGAGCCTCCTTTTCCTTTCCAGTCCCTTTGGCAGTCTGGTGAAGCCTATGGCCCTCTTCTCAGATAATTTTAAAAAAATGTATAAAGTACATAGGATTATAAAGTAAAGAAATTATATTGAAATACAGTTATTACAGTATTTTTTAAAAAGCGACTTCACAGAACCCCAGGATAGAAATCCCTGTCCTAATATCTTTACAGAAAATAATTGCCATGTGGCTCCTTTAATTAAACAAGGTTGCAAATGAACTTTCAGGGTCACATGAATGACTGAAGACCATGACCTTAGACTCTAGTAAGCTCTTGCTTACTGAAAAAAAGCCCTCTTTTTCCTTTCTGGGTCCACTCTCTTTCCCACGAAGTAAAGAAAAAAGCCCAAGTACCACCAATGCCTTCTGGAATTTCTGGTCCACATCCTTGAAAGAATCCTCGATGAAGACTTCAGTGGCTTCCCTCTCACAGGAGGCATGTATGTCCAACAACTCCTGAAGGGTTTCTGTGGGGAACTGGACCCTTTGTCTCATCACCTCTTCATAGTGTGTAAGGGCCCTTTGAATTGCTGCTGAGTTCTCTATTTGAGCCAGTGCCAAGACCGCATTCTCCATACAGGGCATATCTCCCCTGGTGATGGCCTCAACATAGGTCAGGACCAGGTTCTGTAGACCTATAGAGAAAACAAAAATGGAAGAGGTCAGCACCATTAGGAGAATAGTCAGAACCTGTTATGCTAAATAATGAGCATGTACCCTTCACTTTTCCTTATATCTTAATTATTGCACCATTGGGAAGGTCTTGGACATAGCGTCTTAAAGGTTTTCAAATTAGCCCTTTCCAACTCTAACATTTTATGATTCTGTGAAACCTTGAGGACATTTTTTGATATGGGAGCAAGAAGTGTCCAAAATGGTAATAATGAGAGACCATGGATAGGAACCTGTAAAGTTCTTTTGGTAACTAATAATAATAATGATAATGATGATAGTAATAATAATAACTATATAGCATCTATATAGTACTTTAAGGTTTGCCAGGCTCTCTACATATTATTTCATTTGATCTTAAAAAAACAATCTGGTGAGGTAGGTACTATTATTATCCCCATTTTACATGAGAAAGCTGAGGCTAAGAGAATTTATGTGACTTGCCTAGGGTCACCCAACTAGTAATTGTCTAAGGCAGGGTTTGAACTCAGGTCTTCCTAAGTCCAAATCCAGTGCTCCTACCCACTGTGCTACCTAGATACCCCATCTTTGATAAATGTGACACATGTGATTGGTCTGATGCCAATAGATTATGTTGGGTATCAGTAAGTACCTTCAATGTGCTTCTCTTTCACAACCTCTCCTCTTCCTTTAAAAATAGCAGAAGACAAGTCCTTAAAGGACAAATAGTAAGGAAAAAGTACTCACGGGGCCCATTGACTGTGATACCTCCCTGGACCATTTTTACTTTGGAATGTTGGAAGATATAGGAGCAGAAGCTTTCAGTTTGTTCAACAAAGTTAGCCTCTAGTTCATTGTCATGAAGTTTCTCAAGCTGGGCAAGCTTCTTGCCATGGGTGGGTGGTTCAAAGATAAAGCACTTCTTCTTGGGAAAGAATTGGTGGATACACTGCCTGGGTAGATTGAATGTGTGAACTTCATCACTGGTACCTGAGAGAAGAGAAGGGAAGGGAAGGGAAGGGAAGGGAGAAGAGGAAAGGGAAGAAAAGGAGAGGGAAGGGGAGGGGAGGGAAGGGGGAAGAGGGAAGGGAAAGGAAGGGAAGAAAAGGAAAGGGAAGGGAGGGGAGGGGAGGGGGAAGAGGGAAGGGAAAGGAAGGGAAGAAAAGAGAAGGGAAGGGGAGGGAAGGGAAGGGGGAAGAGGGAAGAAGGAAGGGAAAGGAAGGGAAGAAAAGGAAAGGGAAGGAAAGGGAAGAAAAATGAAGGGAAGGAAAGGGAAGAAAAGGAAAGGGAAGAAAAGGGAAGGGAAGAGGAGGGGAGGGAAGAGAAGGGGGAAGGGAAGGGGATTTATATGTTACCCCACTAAAGTTAAACTTCGAGAAGTTCTCTGATTTTGTCCCTTCTCAATCCTTTCACTCATCTCAGTCTTAGTACCCCGCCCCCCACCAATGTGGGGAGAAGGAACTTATTCTAGGGCCGCATAGTCATGTAGATCCCAGCCAAGCAGTGTATGATATAACCTTGTCCAAATGGCCAAGGACCTCAACTAGATAAATTTAAATTCAGAACAGAAGACCAGGATTCTACAGAAGGATTCTCTTGTCCCCAAACATTACTCAACCCTCAGTTTCTGAGACCTTCTTTGAGTTTTAGCGCCTTCTCCAGGTACTCGTCAGAGGTGATGGGCTGCTCATTGATTTTGAGCTCTAAGGTGAAATCGCGCACAGTCCACACAAAGTCTGGAAAGAAGTTTATAAAGTTAGTTGAGTCTTCCACCTCTGCTGTACTAGGAGAGGGTTGAGCTCTGACTCGCTTTGTCAGCTCTGTCACATAGCTGGATTGTGAGTTAAGGAAAAATAGTAAGAAAAGAGAAGGAGCTCACCTTCAATTCATGAGAGTCATCATTCTTTCATTTCCCTCAAATAATTTATTTCCCACTTGGCGGTGAAACAACATATTCCATGTGTCAGTTTTTAATTTGGCCCCCAAGTGATCTGCCCAAGTATAATTTTAGAGAGTTGTTCATAAAATAGCTTTCTCACGTCCCCAGAAATGTCATTATTTGGCTCATTTTGCTTTGAATAGGGACTTTGTTTCCCCTGCAAGCATTCAGGCTAACAGGCTTTATTAACGGACAATAACTGCAAAAGACTCATACCTGAGTCCCAAACAGTGAAGAAAGCTATGATCCTCTCCCTTCCATCCCTTTGGGTAAAGAACTTAGGTTTGCCAGAGAGTTGACCTCCTACTTTATCCTGTATGGTTTAGGGATGAGAATGATTCAAACAGCTCTCTCCTTCTGGTAGGCCCACTTTACTCATAGTAAAAAAACTCAGTTACTGGGGAATCAACCTTATCTCCTCAGGCCTTGCATAGTTTATGTTATTCATGCTACTAGGAAAAGGGGAAGAGCTCCAGGTCTCCTTTTTGATGCCTATGATTCTCTGCTGTGTCAGTCTTTCTAGGCAGCTAGTTTGCAGGTGGATGGAGCAACTAGACCTTGAGTCAGTTCAAATCCTACCTCAGACACTTAGTAGCTGTGTTACTCTGGGCAAGTCACTTAACTTCTGCCTCAGTTTCCTCAATTACAAAATGAGGATTATAATAGCACCTATCTTTCAGGGTTATTGTGAAGATTAAAAGAGTAAATATTTGGATGTGCTTTTTTAGCACAAATGCTTGGCCCAGAGTAGACACTTAATAGATGCTTGTTCCTTTCTTTCCCCCCTTTTCTAGTACTAGGACAGGCAAGGTTCCTGAGTTGGCTTCTTACTGTCATGAATTTGTGCCTCCTCGTCACTCCTCAGCACACATGGTTTCTGAATTTCCCTGTTTGAGTAAGAGTAAGGTCTGTGCTTCTGTGGCCATTTTGGGTTTCTATCTGGCTCAGGCTCCTTAGTGCTTGGGGGTCTCTGGACGGGCTTTGTGGTGGCTCAAGTGTCTTTCCAGGACCCAGAGTCTGTGCAATTCTACCATCCCTTTCAGTGTGTTTCCTTCTCTATCTCCTTTAAAGGTCAAATTCAGAAGCTATGATAATTCCTTAGGTGTCAACTCTTTGTTCCATGAACTTTGTTCCAAACCTTGTTCTATGAACAAGACACTCCAGCTCCAGTTTGGGGCATTTTCTCTGGCTGTTCCCATGTCTGGAATACTCTCCTTCCTTAACTCTACTTACTGACTTTCCTGACTTCCTTTAAATCCTGTCTTCTACAGGAAGCCTTTACTAACCCCTCTTAATTCTAGTGTCTCCCCTTCATTAATTATTTCCTATTTATCCTGCATATAGTTGGTATTTATTTGTTTGTTGTCTTCCTGTCTTCCTCCATTAGATTGTGAGCCCTTTGAGGGCAGGGATTGCCTTTTGCTTCTTTTTGTATACCCAGCACTTAGCACTTAGCCTGGCATATGGTAGGTGCATAATATTTATTATTTAATAATTATTATTATTCAATATTGATTAATCGATTGATGCTCTTCAGTCTTGCCTGATTTGGAAGCCATGAACTTGAGCCAGTGCCTGGCCAGTGGAGTCAAGAGATCCCAGGAGAAGGAGAATTAACACTGTCCTGGAGCTAGCAGGGAAGGAGGGGAGATTATTCCTCTTGACCATCTCTTGGTATGTCTGTAGTCCTGTTTTTATAATAGCATTTGATACTTTTTTTTGTTTTGGTCTCTCACACTTGCCCTTAATTCAGTAGGCCATGGGTTTTAGAGAGCAATGTCAAGGACAGAATTGAGTCATCCCCCTTGGGCTTGGCTCTTGCCCTGGATCACAGAAAGGATACTGCAGCTGGTCCATGGCCTGCTGGTTGATGATGCCCATGCTGTTGTAGACAAAGGTGCTGCTCAGTAGCACAGCCAGGGCGAAGATCCACCCGTCATTCTTATTGTCTCCCTAGAAATAAGACCACATTTCCTGGCCTTGTTGCCTGATACCTTTCCACTCCCATGTCAGCCCCTGGATTAGCATCCTTATGCACTGGATGAAAATCCAGCTCTCTCGGGTTTTTGTAGGCCTAAGACCTATAATAATACCACCGTGCTCCCTTTATTTCCAATCACAAACAATGTCTTCCCTTGTTACCTTCTCCACATCACCCAGCCCCTCAGTGTCCAGGAGAACAAGGGTGTGATTTGGTTTCTTGGGATGAGGAACACACCACATCCAGATGCCCTTGGTGTGAGACTGCACTGTGGAGCCAAGGGAGAAACCTGCACAAGAGTTTGGAGAGATGAGCATGGAGTAATCTGGGGACTTTCATATTTGATGAATGTCTTGGGGATTGGTACAGCTGTGTAATTTTTTTGGGTATGTTGTAGAAGGGATTCTTTTAAACATTATAAACACTATTTTATTTTTTCTAATTACATGTAAAGATAGTTTTCAACATTCATTTTTATAAGATTTTGAGTTTCAAATTTTACTCTTTCCCTCTCTCTCCTCCCTCCTCTGCAAGATGGCAATTAATCTGATATAGGTTATACATGTGCAATCATGTTAAATATATTTTTACACTGGTCATGATGAGAAAGTCTTTAACGATTATCTGGTCCAAACCTCTTATTTGATCAGTGAGGAAACAGAACAAAATGGAAAAACCATGAAAACTCCCCCCCAAAACAAAAACAAAATGAAAATAGTATGCTTCAATCTGCTTTCAGGCTCCATAGTTCTTTCTCTGGATGTGGATAACATTTTCCATCGTGAGTCCTTTGGAATCGTCTTAGATCATTGTATTGCTGAGAAGACTTAAGTCTAGTTGATCATCGCACAATGTTACTGTTACTGTATGCAATGTTCTCCTGGTTCTGTTCACTTCACTCAGCATCAGTTCATGTAAGTCTTTCCAGTTTTTTCTGAAATCTGCCTGCTCATCATTTCTTATAGCATAATAGCATTCCATTACCTTCATATACCACAACTTGTTCAGCCATTCCCCAATTAATGGGCATCCTTCAATTTCTAATTCTTTGCCACCACAAAAAGGGCTGCTATAAATATCTTTCTACATGTAGGTCCTTTAACCTTTATTTATGATCTCTTTGGGTATGATTGTATTTAGGGCATAGTTCCATATTGCTCTCCAGAATGGTTGGATCAGTTCACAACTCCACCAACAATGCATTAGCCATGTAATGTTAACCATTTATTGGAAGAGAACAGTATATACCTTTAGAATTATTTGTCTACAGTTGGAAGGAACCTTAAAGGTTATCTGGTCCAACCCTCTTATTTGATCAATGAAGAAATCGAAGTTCAGGGAAGTGAAATGTTTTGTCCAAAGTCACATGGGGATAAGTAGAAGGACTGAAATTTGAACCTAGGTTCTCTGATTTCACACCCAACCTTCTTGTCATTCTATCATGCTCTTTCTTAACAGTGGAAAGTTAGAGGCCAGGAGATTGTACCTAGTACAATTGGTGTTTTATATCTTGTTTTAAAATTATCACTAGATAGATGAGAATTAGGTCCATAATCCAAACACTACAATTGGGGATAGTTTCCTGTACCTCAGAGATCCACAGAAATACCTAGGGAGTTTTCCCTTGTGATTTCCGTATTAATTAATCCATCCTTTGCTACCTATAGGCATCTGAAATTCAACATGCCCCAAACAAGTTTCATTATTCTTTCCCCCAAACCTGCTCCTCTCCTGAATGTTCCTCCTTCTGTTGAGGATGGCCCCATCCTTCTAGACATTGGGGTATTTGACTTCAGAGCACTTACTCTTCTCCCCACATCTCCAATTAATTACCAAGTCTTATTGATTTTTTGCTATCTGTTACATACAACACTCAAATTTCTATCTCCATACCTTTATCCTGGCTTCCCTCCATGACTGGAATGCACTACTTCTCCTTTGCATCACAGAATCTCTTATATTCTCCAGGACTCAGGTCAGTCTCTACTTTCTAAATGAAGCTTTTCCTGATTTCTCCAGCTGCTAGTGCCCTCCTTCCCCAAACAGCTTTGCTTTTAACCTTGCATATTCATATATATATAATGTGTGTGTGTATGTGTGTGTGTGTACATATATATATGTGTGTGTGTGTGTGTACATATATATATATATATATATATATATATGTCCATGTTCTCTCTCTTGATCTAATGCAGGATTCTTGAGGATAGAGACTTTTCCATTTTTGACTTTGTACCCCCAGCATTTGTTGAATTATTAATTCATTTAATTCATTTGAGAAATAATTAGTGATCACCTATTTTGTGCATGACACTGTTCTAGGTACTTCAGGGGATACTGTGACAAACAGAACATGGTTCCATTTTTCAAAGGTCTTCCCCTTTCTTAGGAAAGATAAGATAAGTACCACAAAGTGAATTAGAAAAGAGCCTATGAGAGGTATGAAACCCATATAAACTTAGAGGGTAGAATTCTGGGAATGGTGATCAGGGAACTCTTCATGGAGAAGGTGGAATTTTAGCTGGTGTCCAAATGAATAGAATTTTGCCTAGTGGAGATTGAAGTGGAGGCATAAAGGATAGTGGAAAGAATGGTAGAGACAGGAAATGATATGAACAATTCAGAAAGGCTGCAAAGGTAGGTTGGAGCCTGAGTCTATTAATAGCTAGCCTCAGATTCAGGGTAAGTTATTGCCGTGAGGGGACCAGGTCAAGACAACCATAGCCAGGTCTGGAAGTTAAGCCTGTAAGACTGCTAATGCTGCCTACACCCTACTCGTGGGATGGACTGGATGAGAGGGAGGGCAGCGTCCCAATATTTAAGTTCTATGTTATTTCTTGAGGTTTTCTAGCTTGTGCAGTGTTTCTATCTTATGGATTGAAATTTAATTATTCTGTATCTGGTTTTCTCTGTCTCTTTATAATAGAAGTTCTTTACTCGTTTTTAAAAAATATTGTGGACTTCTTTGGCAGTCGGGTGAAGCCTTGGAATCCCTTCTCAGAATAGTATATTGAAAGGCATAAAATAAAATACATAGGATTAGAAAGGAAATTAATTGTTTTGAAATCTAGTTATCAAAATATTTATTAAAAAATTCGCTAATTCCAGGTGAAAACCCCTACTTTATAGAATATTTTAGTTACTCTATGTCTACTCCAATTTCCTTTTTTTGAGGTTTACATTTGCAGAAGGTTGTGGCAGACAACTCTGTGCTGTTTGAATGATCCTTGATAGGGGATTTTTTTTAAAAGATGATGGTACTAAATGATATATTTTAGATTTGATCCTGGAGGTAAGAGAGAAAAAGACTGTAAAAGGTGGACTGAGGGACCAAATTTCTTCCCAGTCATGAGAGTAACTGCTCTGGGATTATGGTCTGAGGAGAAAGCTTCCAGCAGGAATTCTACACCAGAAGTAATCATTGACCACTTCCTTGCTTTAATTTTCTGTGCTCTCCATGTCTATGAAGGATTCAGCATCAGTAGTTTCCTCCATAGAGCTAATGGAGTCATCTTCCTGAGTCTGATGGGGATATTTGCTTATTCCTTGTTTGGGAAAGAAATAAGATAAATGCCCCAGGGAGATGCATTCAGGATGGTCTTCTGGACGATGGACAGGTGAGATGGAGGATGTGATATCTGGAAGATATCTTCCGGAAGGTAGCTTGTTTGTTTGAGGGCTAGGTCAGCCTGTAGCATATTAAAGAGGTTTCCCAGAGGATTCTCCTTAAAAGCAAGCAAAGAGTCTGTGGGGTTAAGTTATATGTGATACATGGAGGTGATGGGAAGTTTTGATGCTTTAAGGACCGTTGTCTAATCTTCGGAGTCTCTGGTTTCAGAGGAACATGGAAAATTGGTGGATAATGGTACCTGGAGTCTGGGTTTTAAGTAGGTGCAAAGTACAACATTGTAGAGGATAAGGCATAACAATCATTAAAGTCATATCCTGTCCCAGAAACACCTTCTCCAAGTCTTGTAACTTGTACCAATGGCTGGACCACTCTAGGCTCAAGGGTTCTTGAGTGATGGCCCCTTTCACCATTACATTCCATGAATGGACATCTTTGGGGTGAGACCCAGGAGCAGGAAGGCCACAGGAATGGATCTGGCCTACAACTCAAGGATGAAGCTTCAGCAACTTTGAGTTGCATTTGGAAGAGATCAGCATGATAAGGAAGACGATGAGGCAATGAAATTCTTGAGTTGGAAAAATTGAGGAGGTAAATAGGAATGGCAAGTGGATAGAGTACACAAGATAATTGATGTAACTGTGCCTGAAGAAAGGGATCAAGCAGTGAGAAGGTGTGGGAAATGTAGGAGGTTCATAAAAATGAAGAAAATGCTGGTATCTAGTTGGGTCTTCCATACACCGTGGAAAATTTGAGACTTTGTTTCTGGTCTCTGAGATGTTCCTTCTGCCAACATCCAGGACTGAATGGATAAAGTTAGTACTGTCAGCCGTCCAGGACTCATTATTCCTGCTGTCATTGGTCACTGCCGTTGTCGTTGTTCATTGTTGTCTGTCTTTGTGTTGTCGTTGTCTTTGTTTGCATTGTTCACTCCTTCCAGAGACATTAGCTCTTACTCGTCATTGCTCAGCCCCGAGGAGTGAAGGGGACTGCTCACAAGGTGTGTTGCTGCTCCCAAAGCCAGGTGGTGCCTCAAGTCAGGAAGACCTGAATTCAAATGTAGCCTCAGACATTCTTTAGTTGTGTGACCCTGGGTAAGTCAGTTAATCTATGTGCCTTAGTTTCTTCCACTGTAAAATGGCATAATAATAACTCCTACCTCCCAGGGTGGTGATGAGGATCAAAAGAGATAATGATTGTAAAGTGCTTAGTCCAGTGCCTGGGCCTATATAAATACATACATGTTCCCCTTCCTTGAACCTTTTACTTTCAAAAGAGTTAGTCTCTCTCTCTCTCTCTCTCTCTCTCTCTCTCTCTCTCTCTCTCTCTGTCTTACTTAAAGATGGCTCTAACAGTGAGAAAGTCTTTCCTTGCAGGGAACAAATAATCTAATTCTCTGCAGCTTCTAATCACTGCTCCCAGCTCTTGCCCTCTGGGCTCAGAGGCCAGGTGGCTATTTGTTGGTTAGGTTGTAGTAGCGATTCCTTTTCAGATGCAGACAGGACTAGATGAAGCTGATGTTCCTTCCAATTCTAAATTTCTATGATTCTAGGTTATTTTAGAGGGTACTATATTTTAGTTATGAGTTGGGATTAGATGACCTTTGGAGTCTCACCCAACTCTCTGATTTAATTCTATGATTTCTAACCCTAAATGCACTCCTGCTGTAACGTAAGAGGAGTCTTCTAAGGAGCAACTAAAGCAGAGGTGTCAGCAAGGAGGGAAACTGCTTTGTTCCCCCGTAGGAAAGTTAAGAACGAAGCCTCACTTTTCAGGGCCAGGAAAACCTGAGTTCAAATCTTGCTTCAGACATTTTTGCTGTGTGACCTTCAGCAAGATACCTCACCTTTCTCTGCCTCAGCTTCTTCAGCTGTAAAATGGGGATAATAATATTACTTACATCGGAGGGTTGTTTTGAGAGTCAAGTGAGTTAACATATGGTAAGTGCTTTACAAACCTTGAAAAAACTCTGTAACTGTAGAAATGCTAGTTTATCATCATCATCATCATCATCATCATCATCATCATCATCACTGCCACCACCTCTAGAGGACTGACCCCACATGAATGGATAATATTCAGCGTTTGTAGGAGAATTGAGTCCAAGCCTTTTCTAATACACTCACCTGACTTTTGCCCTGCCAGTTTGTTCATCAGATAGGACTTGCCAGTGCGGTAGAGGCCCACGATAGCCACCACTACCACAGGCTGGGTCACTGTAGCAAGGATTTCTGTTGCTTCTTGCTTCACTGTCAGTTGCCCCTTACTGTTCTCAATTAGGCAGATTGGGGCTGGCATCCAGAGATCAGTGGCCATGTTGGAGGTGGCGTGTTATCTGAAAAAAAAAAATTTTGTTTGTTCTACTGGGGCCACTGAGAGCGTAAATGACCTGCCCATGTCATGTAGCTAGTATGTGTTGACAAAGGCCTTCAGTGCAGACCTACTTGACTTCAAGGCTGGCTCTCTATCTATGACCACCTACTGCCTCTCCAGGCACAGTATACAATTCCAAGTACTGAGGCATTGTATAGCAGTCACAAGATCACTCCCTTACTATGTGTGCTTCTTCCTATAGTCTATGATTGGATCCTCTTGCTCTCTGTTCAGAACTTTGCTATTTTGGTTATAGTATTAGCCTTTGTATCTGAATTATCTACCCATTTTGACTTGATCTTGGTATATGGTATAAGATATGGGATAAGATCTAGGCCTAGTTTCTGCCATACATTTTCCCAGTATTTCCAGCAGTTTTTGTTAAATAGTGAATTGTTATCCCAGAAGCTGGAGTCTTTGGGTTTATCAAAGAGTAGATTACCATAGTCATTGACTACTGTGTCTTCTGTATCTAACCTATTCCATTGATCCACTACTCTGTTTCTTAGCCAGTACCAAGTAGTTTTGATGATTGCTACTTTGTAATACAGTTTTAGATCGGATATGGCTGGGCTGCCTTCCCTTGTATTTCTTTTTATTAATTCCCTTGATATTCTGGACCTTTTGTTCTTCCAGATGAATTTTGTTATTACTTTTTTTTTTTGAATTTTTTTTTAAAGGCAATTGGGGTTAAGTGACTTGCCCAGGGTCACACAGCTAGTAAGTGTTATTACTTTTTCTACATTGTAGACATCATAAAATATTTGGGAGTCTACCTGCTAAGACAAACCCAGGAACTATACGAACACAATGACAAAACATTTTTCATGCAAATAAAGTCAGATCTAAATAATTGGAAAAATATCAGTTGGTCGTGGGTAGACTGAGCTAATATAATAAAAATATCAATTCTACCTAAATTAATTTACTTATTTGGTGCCATACCAATCAAACTACCACAAAATTATTTTATAGAGCTGGGAAAAATAGTAACAAAGCCAATTTTTAAAATGGGTTAGATGGAATTGGAGTACTAGTCAGTGGTGGCTAGCAGTGAAGGGACCACATCAGAATGGCCTATGGGACCCCTAGAATCCTGAGGGAGAGATGCAGCTGGACTTGTTCTGGGAGGGTGAGGTTACGTTCATCAGTTCCACAAAACTTATGAATAAAAGGATCATATCTGACAGCATGTGAAACATTCCCCACATATCCAATCTCTCTCCTCCCACCTCCCCCTTCCTTCTCCAAGGCCAAGTTTAACTCTCATCCACCTTCTCCTTCCTTCTGACTTAAAGTTCTGAAACAAGGAGGAGAGAATCTGTACAGAAGATAAGAAAACAGCTTTGGAAGAGAAAATACACAAAAATTCTTACTGGCTCTTGCTCACTTCAAAGTGAATGCTCTCCTGTTCCCGATGATCTGGTCTTCCCTTGGTTTTGTCTTGGCTATCCTTCCTTAATTTACCCTTTTCACTGCTCAGTCAGATCTGATATTCCTGACTCTGCTCCTAAGGCCTGAGGGTTTCCAGGCTTTCATAAGAGATCTGACAATTTTAAAAAATCCTAAACGAAAACCCCAGTCATCAATATGAACCAAACAACTTCATCAAGGAAGTAGGAAAAACCAAAAGTAAAGTTCTTTATTGCATAATGCAGTGACTCACTAACTCAGAGAAACCACCAAAGAAATTTCCTGCTGGCAATGCTGAAAGAGGATTTGCAGTAACAGAGGGGAGTTGAATCATCCAGAAGATTCTTGGGACCCCTTCTCATTCTGCTTTTGGCATTAGAGAAGGATGTTTCTAGAGAACTTGTAGCTTTTATTTCTATAATACAGCCCTTCTCCATCCTAGTTAAATTAGAATTAGATATGTGTCTACCCACCTAACCAGAGTTAGTGACTTGAATGTAGTAAAAATAGATAATGTCTCCTGTTTGCAGTTTCTGGAAGCAGTGTCTCATTGATGGTGGCAGTGAGCCTGCTTGGTGCCCTGTGATCTTTGAGAAAACCATAAAGATATGTCATTCCTTAATACAATGTTCAATGTGTGTATTAGAATGGTATAGTTTAGAGCACTTAAAGGTAGCTTCCGTAATCGTAGTGTCACAGATTTAAAACTGGAAGAGACCTTAGAGGTCCTCTACTCCAACCTCCTCCTTCCCCTCCTCCCCCAACCTGCACACTTTACAGATGAGAAACCGGAAGTCTCTTAAAGGTTAAATGACTTACCTAGAGTTACGCAGATAGTAAGTGGCAGAGCTGGGACTCAAACCCAGGTCCTCTATAACTCTAAATCTAGCATTCTTTCCATTGTCCTTCTGAAGTTCCTCCTGAGTTTTCTGATGTGTATAGAATAGTCTTGTGTTATCTAAATTTCCCTTCCTTTGTATTTGAAGTTATTTCTCCTGGTCACTTGCAGAATACACTGTTTCTGAATTTGAGTTTTAAAATTTAGCCACTTTATGTCTTGGAGTTTGCAGCTTTGGCTTTTTTTTTTTTTCTGGAGGTAATTTATGCACTCTTTCATTTGATATTTCCTTTTCCATCTTCAGAAGTTCTGGACAGTTCCTTTGTATTACTTCTCTCATTATAGTGTTCAGGTTTGTTTTCTTATGTTCTTCTAGGAGACATATGATCCTTCTGTCTTCAAGATCAATATGTTTGGTTGAATATTTTCATTTAATGTTACTGCCTTTTGCTTTTCTTCTTCTATATTGTCATTTATTTCTGTATGTATACATTGCCAGTCCATAGTCCTTTCTTGTTTCCTTGGTGATATTCGCCACTAAAGACTGAAATTTTCCAGTCTGCCAATTATTTCTGCTGTGCAAGCCATAGATTCCACTCCCGTTACTCTCATTTCTCTTTTAAACTATTCAGGAACAATATATTGTAGTTCCATATTCTCCCCAAATTCAACAGGGCCCTCTGTTGCATCAAATATTATCATTTTTCCTTTGTTTTGCAGTATCAATTTCTAGATGCCAGAACTCATTTATTAGTTGTGGACAGGATATTTCATTCTGCTGTCACTGTTTTCCCTGTTGATTTATCTACTTATGCTTGAGGTCTTTGATTTATCTTCTTCCTGAGGTAGTTAGTAATTTCAGTCTTTTTTCCCTCTTATCTTCTCTGATTGCTCCTTTCTGACTGTCTCCTCTTTCATGGTAGTTTTCCTTGGGCTAGATCCCAAAGAGTCTCAGCCTCCTTCCATATTGGGCAGTTCATGGTTCACCAGCCTAGATTTCTATCCCAAGTGATTTTTGGAAGGGACAGAACTGGCCTAAACTGGATGCTAAGCTCTTCCTTCGAGTTCAGTTTAGTGCTGTGCAGCCCTCCTTTCGCCCACCTCTCACACGCAGTTTCCTGTCCCTTTTCCTCTGTTCCTCAGTTCTCTGGCCCAGTGATTCAGAGTAGTGCTATGCTGGTGCTATTGCAGCAGAGTGGAGTTGATTTCTGTCTTGTGGTGTTTTAATCTTTAAGGTTCTTGGAGGAGGGAGAGGGTTTGAGGTGTGGTGTTGAACTTTATTTTCTTTCCAGATGTATTTACTGCCTCATCCCTTATGTTACTCCATTTTTTTCCCAGAGTCTTTTGCAGTAGAAGGGTCCAACACACTACTACCGCCTGGAGTCTGGATCTCTTTGGCACTAGAAAGAGAGAAGTGAGACTGGGTTGCATTTTGTTGCAATTCTGTGGGTTGATCAGCTAGTGTGGCCTTAATGTTAGAAAGGTGGTGGGCAGTGGGGGAGGAATGCTGAGTGAGTTCAAGGCAGGTATCAATTCATGGAGGGTTTTCTAAAGTCTTTTTTTTTCTTTTAATTTCTGGTTTCCTAGATCTGGGAGACATTTGAAGTTGCTTTATGATTGGTACATGATTTCTGTTTGGGAGAGTTTTGAGAAGTTGTGAGGATCAGAGGAAATGCCTCTCTGGCATCTTATTCATCATGTGACCACAAAAGCAGCTCTTAGGGACAAATTTATATCTCTAAATACTTTCATCAGTGTAAGAGAAAAACTAAATCAATGAATTGGGCACAAAACTAAAAAAAAAACTTAAACAAAAAATTGAAAATCCCTAATGAAATATCAAAACAGAAATTCTGAAAATTAAAGAAAAAATTAGTGAAATTGAAAGCAAAAAAAAAAACCTCAGTGAATCGATAAATAAAGTTTTGTAGTTGTTGTTTGTCGTTCAGTTGTTTCTCACTCATGTTTGATTCTTTGTGACTCCAGTTAGGGTTTTCTTAGCAGAGGTACTGAAATAGTTTGCCATTTCCTTCTCCAGCTCACTTTATAGATGAGGAAATGGAGGCAAGCAGGGTTAAATGACTTGCCCAGGGTCGCACAGCTAGTATGTATCTGAGGCCAAATTTGAACTCAGGATGGTGAGTCTTCCTGAGTCCAGACTGGCACTTTATCCACTATGCCACTTATTGCCCCAAGTAAAACTAGAAACTGGTTTAAAAAAAACTAATGAAATATATAGAGTTAGTTAATTTGATTAAAAAAAAAGATAAATTATCTGTATAAAAAGTGAAAAAAGGAAAATTATCAACAATTCTAGAAGAGAAAATAGAAATTGTAAGCAACAATTTTGCTCAGTTACAGCTAACAAAACTAAAAACTTGGAATAGATGAATACTTACAAAAATATAAAATACCATGATTAAAAAAGGAAGAAAAGCACTATTTATGTAACCCATGATTAGAAGAAGAAATTATCAAAGAAATAAAAATCCAGGACCAGCTTTATTTACAAATGAATTCTATCAACTATTCAAAGAACACTGAATTCCAGTGCTACATAAACTGTTTTCAAAAATAAGAAGGCACTCCTCTAATCTCTTTGTATGATACAGATATTATCTTGATATCTAAATTAGGGGGAGACAAAGCAGGGGAAGAAAACTACAAACCAATATCCCTAATAAATAGTGATGCAAACATTTCAAATAAAATATTATTAAGTAGGCTGCAACAAGAACTTAGAAAAAGGATACACTATAATCACATTGTATTTATATCAAGAATGCAGAGTTTTTCATCATGAGGAAGATTATTGATGTAATAAATCATGTTGATGACATAAACATCAAACCATATAATTATTGATTCTAAAAGGTTTTTTGACAAAATCAAGCAGCTATTTTTAAGACTTCTAGAAATAATAGGAATAAATGAATCTTTCTTTAATGGAGTAAATACTATCTAATGAAATCCTAGTGCAAACATTTTATAGTTAGAAGCCTTTCTAGTAAGATCAGGGGTCAAGCATGTGTTCCTGGTAGCTTTACTCTTCTTTGACAAGAGCAAGGAAATATGACCGAAAAGAAATTAAGAGAAGAGGTGTAGGCAAATATGTAACAATTATCACTTTTTGCAGATGATGAGAGGGTTTTCCTTTCAAACAGAAGATGAACTTCACTAGGATACAGAGATTAACTGTATACTGTATAGACTATAGATGCTACATCTGAAGAATGTAACACTTGGATGAGTCATCCATATTTATGATGACAAAATTACATTTAGGACAATGACTATCTGAAGCATCTCAATGACTTTTTAATGCATTTAATATCAATAACTTTAGTAATTAACAAAAGGAAATCCCTTTGGCAGCAATCTGGAGGATGGATTAGAGTAAGGAATGATTTGAGGAATCAAAATCAGCTAGGAAGTTAATGCGGAGTTGAGAATTGGTGTAGTGATTCCACAAAGCAATTTAGAACTATGCCCCCAAAGTTTTTCAGTTGTATGTATGCTTTGAGCCAGCTATTATACTGCTACTAGGCCTATACCCAAAGAGATCACAGAAAGAGAAAAGAGACCCATATGTACAAACGTATTTGTAGTAGCTCTTTTTTTTGTGGTGGTAAAGAAGTAGAAACAACTGGGGAATGGCTGAACAAATTATTGTTATGAATGCAATTGGATGTTATTCTGATCTAAGAAATGACAGGAGGCAAGATTACAGAAAAACCTGAGAAGATTAGTATAAACTGATGTATAGTGAATCAAACAGAAGTAAGGGAAAAAATTTATACAGTAATAGAAATGTAGATACAAACAACTTCGAAATCCTTAAGAACAACAACAAAAAAAAAAAAAAAAGAAAGAAAGAAATCCTGAAGAACACAGATCAATGCAGTAACAAACCAGGATTCCAGAGGATTGATTATGAAACATGCAATTCACTCTGAAAGACAGATGATGAACTCAAGTTGTAGAATTAGAAAGATATTTTTGGACCTATCCAATACAGGGATTTCTTTTGCTTATTAGTTACGTTCATTTCGCTTTTCATTCTTTTTTCCAGATGGTAGTAGGAGGAAAGGAGAGAAAATAATAATGATTATGATAATGCTAATAGCGTTTACAGAGCACCTTAAGCTTTGTAAAGCCCCACCTTAAAGCTCTGTAAAGCACCTTAAAAGCCCTTTATAAATACAGTATCATTTGATCCTTGCAGCAATGCTGGGGAGTAAGTGCTATTGTTATCCTCACTTGTTAATTGAAAAGAAAATAAGTTTTTTAAAAAAGATTACACATTGCTCTCCACTTAGAAAACCAGAAAAAATGCCAGAAATGCCT